GAAACAAAAAATTGCGAGATTAAAATGTTTGGGTGAGAGTAAATTACCGTTCTACCCTTCTCAACGTTTCATTTTATTTAACGTATTTAACAAGTTTATACAATAAATTTGCAGCATGTCAAACATATTTAATCACTTTGAAACAAAAAATTGCGAGAAATCAACGAATTTAAACAAAAAACTTCGTGGAAGTCTATCACTTGGATAAAATTACTTATGAACAAAGATGTTATCTTTTTTTCTGTAGTGAATAAAATGTTTGAATTAGAGCAAATAACCATTCTACTCTTCTCAACATTTCATTCTATTTAACGTATTTAACAAATTTATACAATAAATTTGCAACATATCAAACATATTCAACCACTTTGAAACAAAAAATTGCGAGAAATCAACAAATTTAATCTATAAACTTCTTGGAATTCTATCGCTCGGATAAAATTATGTATAAACAAAGATTTTATCTTTTTTTTTGTGAATAAAATGTTTGAAAATAACCATTCTACCCTTCTCAACGTTTCATTCTATTTAACGTATTTAACAAGTTTAGTCAATAAATTTGTAACATATCAAACATATTAAACCACTTTGAAACAAAAAATTGCGAGAAATCAACAAATTTAAACTATAAACTTTGTGGAATTCTATCGCTTGTATAAAATTACATATGAACAAAGATTTTATCTTTTTTTTAATGAATAAAATGTTTGACTAAGAGCAAATAACCATTCTACCATTCTCAACGTTTAATTCTATTTAACGTATTTAACACGTTTATTCAATAAATTTGCAATATATCAAACATATTCAACCACTTTGAAACAAAAAATTGCGAGAAATCAACAAATTTAAACAATAAACTTCATGTAATTCCATCGTTTAAAGTTATGGATAAAGTTAAGTATGAACAAATATTTTATCTTTTTTTTTATAGTGAATAAAATGTTTTGAATATTAGTAAATAACCTTTCCACCATTCTCAACGTTTCATTCTATTTATTGTATGTAACAAGTTTATACAATAAATTTGCACCATATCAAACATATTAAACCACTATGAAATTTTTTTTTTGCGAGAAATCAACAAATTTAAACAATAAACTTCATGTAATTCTATCACTTGGATAAAGTTACGTATGAACAAAATTTTTATCTTTTTTTGTAGTGAATAAAATGTTTGAATAAGAGTAAATAACCGTTCTATCCTTCTCAACGTTTCATTCTATTTAATGTACTTCACAAGTTCATACAATAAATTTGCAACATATCAAACATATTAAACCACTTTGAAACAAAAATTGCAAGAAATCAACAAATTTAAACAATAAACTGGAGTGTCTGAATTGGTAAAACCAGCTTCTCTCCTCTCACTTAACCCATTAAGTCATTGTAAATTTATAAAGTAAAAAAGAAACAACCCTTTAAGTGCTTAACCCATTAAGTCCATTAAGTAAAAAAGAAAACAACACCACACAACAGATTACGAGTAAAGAGTTTGTTTACCTGCTGCATTGCTGACAGAATCGTTGTTGACGTCCACCAATAACAACAATCGGAGCCTTTGCATGAACCTCACATACTTTATGCCTCCGGTGATACGCTTTGGATCTTGTCATATCGGTTGTGCAATTTGCCACCTGGCAAACTGGTTGTGTGGGACCGCCACTACTTGAACCCCTCTTTCCACCCATTGCCGCCTTCTTTCGCCCGTCATCTATAAATGCCATGTCATCGTCCATTTCCCATTCTTCCATGATGTCGTTTGTGAACTTGTCATCCATATTGGATTTGGATTTTCTTCTCCTCATTTCCTTGAAAGAGGGTCTTTATATATAGAGAACAAGAAAGTGAAGCTTTGTAATAGGAATAAGTGATTCTGATGTTCAGATTCCATGTGGAGGAATAACTGATGGCAAGTCTCTCATTATCTCTGCTCTAGAATAAATGTTTGCATTTTCCTTTCTTTTATAAAAAGAATTATATCGACATCTTATTTTGTCGTATGAGCTAGTTTGTAGTTTAGCTCCATTTAAA